AATATAACGGAACCACGGAACCAAATGAGCATGTGACCTGCTACACAAATGACTTGGAAGACGATGAAATCGAGTCAGTGTTATTAAAGAAGTTTGGGGAAACTCTATCAAAAAGGAGCGATGATATGGTACCACAACTTGCCTCCAAATGCCATTGATTCGTTTGCTATGCTCGTGGATGCTTTTGTAAAGGCTCATGTCGGGGTCATCAAAGTCGAGACTAGAAAATCGGACCTTTTCAACATTAAGCAAAAGGACAACGAGATGCTTAGGGAATTCATGTTACGGTTAGCAACGAGATGATTATCCCTCCTCAGAAGATTCAGGGACTATATAAATGGAGCAGGCAATCGAGAGTGAACCAAGGAGACTTGGTGTTGTTCGCAAAATAACGGAGGAGGATTATGGTCCTTCAAAGAGACGGGTGGATTTGCCCAAGGCACACCTCGTATCTCTTGCAGAAGTCCAAAACAACTAAAACTACCGGGCCTAGTCTGAAGGGATAAGTGTAAACACTTAAATACCCATCCACATGAGTGGTGATACCGTCCTCAGGCCCCGGGACTAACACGTCCTTACCTCACCAGTTACAGTTCTCTTTGACAATGTGAAGGGTATCTTCGGTGACAGTTATATATCTCGATGCCCCTTCACCTTGGTCTTGTTTGGATGAGGCCTTCTCAACTTTGAACTCGTCTAAGACTGAACAGCCCCTGGAAATAAAACTTTTCATGGGGGTCTCTACGATCGCTTTTGCAGCAGCCACTTCGGGAGCATCCACCGAGAGCAGCCATCTCTAGAACAACCGTTTCGGGGATGGTTGCCTCGGTGCCTGTGGCTGGGTGAGAAGATAAAGAGGCAGCCTACTGAGGAACTGATTTGGAAGTTTTGGACATCGTAAATCTGGAAAATACGTGAAGATTTGGAAAGAATTTATGAAGATTTGAAGTTTAGATATGATGTTCTGGGTTAACAATCAAAGAAAATGTATGAAGGTTTGAAGGTAGGATGAAGATCTGGGTAGAAACTTAAGAACAATTATGAAGATTTGAAGGTTAAAGGTAAAAGATGAAGAGTTGGAAGTTGCTAGGAAATTCGAAGATAAGCACTAAGATCGAAAAGTGGAAAAGGTACAAAAAGTCGAAGCTTTTATAGGAAAAAACATAATCATTACGCGACGCTTCACATTCGGAGGCGACCAGCCAATGGTTGACACGTTTCCGAAGTCAGAACGAGGCAACTGATGGGACATTTCGATTCCTTCGTCATTTCGGTTGTAGCGTATGAAGGAAGGAACCGGGGGACATCTATCATTTCTGCAAATCTACTCTTTGGGACACGAGGGGACTATCTATATACGGGTAGAACGGAGGGTAACATGTACCCCAATTTTTCGGTGGGTTGATAAGTGGGGATTTTGACTACTTATTAGCGCCTTTTTACTTTCGTTTCAAAAGTGCTTAATTGTATTCCCGAAAACTGATGAAATGTGCTTAAATACAGGAGTATTGGCAAATGAACCACAAGGATGAAATCCAACTCATAAAGGAGTAATGTGAACTCAAGGAAAAAAAGCAGGCAAAAGCATAATATGCGAACCACAGAATTCCATCTGCTGTTGCAGAATGTGAAAGAAATCTATCAGAGCCCAAGCAATGTGCGGCCACAGAAGCTACACAGAGCTTAAAGAAATGCGGAGCGCACAATTATTGCGGCCGCAGAAGTCAACCACGCGGACACACATAAAATTGTGCGGTCCGCAGAAAGGGCCTTTGCGGCCACACTCAATTTTGTGCGGACCGCATAACACTCAACATGCGGCCGCATTTCAGTTTTGTGCGGATTGCAGATTCAGCTCCTGCCAAGTCTGAAGAAGAAGTGCGGAATGCACATGGAATTTTGCGGCCGTAGAACCTCCGAAAAGGCAATTTTGTCCGAAAATTTCAGCGGTGTATAAATAGACTTCTTTCACGAAGTTAGGTCATGTTTTGAATCCTGAAAGACCAGTAGCCGTTTCTTTTTACTCTTTTAGGCAACTATGGTTTATTTTGGTGATTTAACATTGGATTTTTTACTTTTAATCTTTTAATATGAGTTTAATTATCTTTTCTTCTCTATTTTCTTCATTATCCATTATGAGTAGCTAAATTTTTAGCTAAGGTTGTGACCCAACCCTAGTTTGTGAACCTAATGGGTGTTTGATTTAGGGCTTGTTTATGATTGTGTGTTTATTATTTGGCCTTGTTCTTGCTTTTAATTGTAGAATTAATGGTTGTACATATTAGTTCAAGCCTATTTGACTTGGTCTCTTCTTGAGAAAGAGAGACTTAGTCTTAGGAAAGCAAGGCTAAAAGAATTTGGGATGAAATCAAGAGATTGATAGTCCCAATTAAAGGGTTGAACCTAGAGATAGTAAAACCCGACTTGAGCAATTTATCAACTGTTTTGTTCAATACCCATTTGGACTTGAGAAAGCCAAATTGGGTAAAACCACTCTCTTACCGAGAGGTATTGAGTGGGTAATTGTGCGTTGATTGCTATAATACACCTCGACCAACAAAACACGCCTTAAAGCTTACAATCTGTTAGGCAAACACCTAGGTGGAAGTCACATCCCTAGGTCTTTTACATATTTGAAAACAACATCAAAAACAATATCTTCTAGTTTCCTGTTTTAAAATTGCAACCCTTAGTGTAATTTTAGACGTAAAATCAAAACAACTATTTGTGGAAGTGCAATTAAGATACTTTGCGCGCTCTACCCAAATATATACCACTAATCCCATCTACGCTCCCTGTGGATTCGATCCCAACTCCTAGTTAGGTAATATTATTGCAATCGACTGTTTCACAACCCCGAATAGAGGTGTGACTTGGACGAGATCATGGGTCAAATAAAGCAGAGACATGACCGCATGGGATCAGAATCGAAGCCAGGGACTTCTCGTACTAGGGGTCAAACAGAGTGTTCGCCACCGAGCCAAGCAAGACAACACCCCCCGAACCCAGATCCAGCTCCTAGACCTTGGGAAGCACTACGAACGGTTGCACACAACTAACAGAAAGTTGTGATATCCGCACCCAACCGGGTATCATGGCGCGAATCTCGCCCGAAGTCGGTAGCATATCAGTATTTGATGAGAAAGGAGGATTTGTTTTTTACGTTTTTTAGAATTGTACTAGGGATGGAACTCTCCAATTATATAAAGGAGAATTTTTTTCATTCAATACACATGGTAACACGCATATCAAGGCAATACAAACTTACTTCTCTGCTTTCTAGCCATTGAAAGGTTCTTATTTGGCGAAATACATAAAGCGCCCCTTCAAGTTGTCCTCAACGATCAACTGAACACCTCAACTGAGACCATTTCCAGCTAGACACTACTGTTAAGTAAATCAAATAGACACCCCAGTGCAACATACCAGATGCGTGAGTTACACTTGCAAATGAGCCAATCAATGAACAACACGTGTAATTCGTAACTAAAACTTAATACAAATTAACCAAAAAAATAAAAATGAATTTAAAGAAGAAACAACCATTTTTTAGCTTTCTCCCCTCCCCCCTCCAACTTCATCTTCCTCTTCCAAACCAACATACCTCATTATCATTATCTGTCATAGGAATGTATGGAATACTTGGTATTTCTGCTTGCATTTCACCCTTTTGATTTCAAATCATTTCCCTAAAATGGAGATAGGGATTTGTTGTCTTGCTTAAACGATCTCATTTTTAGCATTTTGCTAGATTTTGTCTCTGCGGCTGATTTGCTGACTAATCTGCTGCTACAGCAGTTGATTTGCACAAATAGTCGATTTTATGACCTCCTGTATTTCGCTGCTTCGTCTTCTCTTCACCATTTTCCGTCGAAATGGTTGTTGTGTCGGATAATTGGATGGATGAAAGAGAAATTTGTTGAAAAATTTGGTATGAAAAATTTGTTGAATTTGATGTGATGATATATTTGGTAATTTTGTTCTTTTGTAATGGAGGCAAAGGTGATTTAGGGTAGAGGAGGGTGCTGAATGGTGGAGGAGAGAATTGGAGGAGAAAGGGGTGTGAAAATTAAGTGGGGTCCATATTATTTTAGTAAAAAAAAAAAACCTAATTTTAGGTTGGCAACTCGCGTCCCAGAGAGTGGATTTCACGCAATGGGGGCTGACATGGTCGGATGTTTAGTTGATCTTCTTTTGTGAATAAATAAAGGGTCTAATTGAAAATAGGCTCACTTGAGGTGTTCAGCTGGTCGTTGAGGAAAACTTGAAGGGGCCGTTTATGTATTTCGCCTTCTCATTTTATTTATAGTTCTCCATAGACATTTTGCTTCGAATCGAGGGCCCGGTCGAGGATAAGACCATTCTTAAGCTAAAATCGAGCCCAGATTCAACGTCATAACTGGTTTGGATATTGATTTCATTTTTAATTTATCCGACATTCTTGATTTCTTGTATTGTATCAAACCACATGTCCTTAAGACCGCGCACAAATTTAATTGTTATCCGTCTTAAGGTTAAACAACATTAAACTAATGAGTATGAAATATATGTTTTGCATATGTATTTCATGAAGCCAAATATATTTTATTGTAATTTATCACCCTTAAAGATAAATTTAGCGATCCGATGATCGAGATAAATAGAAGAACAAATATTTCCATTTATTAATTTTATGACCGTGCGTGTCACATTGTATGCACTTCAATAATTTCATTGAATATTTACTATCTCTCGTTAACACCGAATATTCTGCCCACTAAATAAAAGAATTATCTAATATTCTTTATATCTATTCAAACTTCAATTGAAAACATCACGATTCTGCTCGGACTTTATTAACAGCTAAATATTTTTGGAAAAACCTATAAGTGTAGCTACTTTCAAAATAATAGACGATAAAATATTTCTATTTTATGTATATAATTCTTTTGTATATTTTCTAGGAAATATAATTATTCTTTACCGACCAAACGAGCTTCGTACAACACCCCTCCGAACCCCTCTGTTAGTGATTAAAACCCGCCCGAAACTAAAAAGAATCAATATCCCAACAAGTTTCAACTTCCCATTTTCTAGTCTTTTAACCCTTTGTTACTCTTCTTTCTCTTCCATCCAAAGCCAAGAATTTCCACTACATTTTACACATACATTAAACTATTCTCTGCAATTCTCCATAGCTTTATAAAAGAATTGTGTTGATCAAAAATTGTAAAAAGGGTTATCCTTTTCTTCTTTTTAGCTTAAAACAATGAAGGTTCATCCAGTACCAAGAAAGCGCAACATCACACTACGATACGACATCGTTTCGGCACTCTCCCAGGCCAACGCCATAGCATCCGGCTGTCAAAAGAAGCTCCGTCGACTACCTCACATCTTCGCGAAGGTTCTCGAACTTCCTTTCCATTCCGATGCTGACGTGTCTATCCAAGAGAGCCCCGATTCGTTGCGTTTCGTTATCCCGACGGATGATAACGTTGGGGACAATATTAGGGCCCACACAGTTGAGATCTATCCTGGTGTTACTAAGATTGTGATACGAGGGGATAATGTTTTGGATTCGTCTTTAGGTGAGTTTGAGCTCGACTTATGGCGATTCCGTCTCCCGCCGTCAACTCTGCCGGAGCTGGCTACCGCTGCTTTTGACGACGGCGAGCTGGTGGTCACGGTCCCCAAAGACCCACATGAAGAAGACGTGGATGGTGCTGATATTGGTGAGGCTGGACGCCTTATTCTTGTACAATAAATCTCTAGCTTCAGTTCCTTTTTCTTTTTCAGTTTATGTCCCAATTGTAGCTCGTTTTGCTATAGGGATATAATTTGAACTATCTATGTCTAAATAAGATAGCGACCCTTGGATGTGAATTTCGATCGTTGTGGTCTACTCATTTCTTTACTAAAAGTTCAGTAATATAGAGGATTTCATAGTAATAAACTTCAACAAGTTTGGGATTAGAGGCAATCAGATGTATCCCCATAAAGTTTGGTAGATTGCTTTCTTCCTTTCATTACCCGCTAATTTGGAGTTTACCATTGGTTGGCGAGAAAAGATTAAAATGGGAAGCTTTTGGTATGAATTAGTGGCTATAAAGTTGTCCTGTAGTTTTATAATTGTGATTTATCATAATTACATTTGCGTAGCTTTAGTTGCTCATATGGATAAGCATATAGGTTTGAGATGGCCAAAGACTGATTCTATGGCCTCTCCATTTGTTTATTCCCTTCTTGCTGAAATACTGAACCTTAATGAATAGTATTAGTCTTTGGTAGTTCAGGACAGTTACATCTTTTGGATTCAGAAATTTTGTTTATCTAATTTGTTGGTTTCCATCTATTCAAAAGTGTTGTTACCCTTCAAAGAATATATAATGGTGGTGCCATAGAGTTGATTTTCCCTATTATGTGGTGATGATCAAGGGAAGAATGTATAGGGTGAAACTCCGTTTGGATGGCTCCTAGTGGCTAAGAAAGAATTCATCATATAGCTGTATACTGGTCGAAGTATCCTAAGAACATTGATGTTGATGATTCTACCATCAACTGTTGCAAATGATACATTGAACTGTAGAATGATTATTATCATTGTTATTCGGCTGCTAATGGGATGCCAATTTCTCAACTATGTGCACTCCTGTGCTAGGTAATTGTCCTAGTAATTCTTTTCATAATGTCATTATATGTTTCTCTGATACTCCAATTGCCAACAGATTTGTCCCTGTTGATTTGTAGGCTTGTTCTTATCTAGTTCCACTTCTCTACGCTTGCCCGGTAATGTCCCACCAAAGCTTCCTTGGTCCAAAAAAAAGAAAAAGAAAAAGCTTTCTTGGTTCCATCCTTTCAATAATTGAACTTCCTCTGATTTTGTCTTCTCTGTCATTGCGCTGTGCAAATGTCATTCGCAGCATAGTTCCTTATATGTACTCTTTCACTTGGTGGATGCTGCTCTTGTGAACAATCAGAACCTAACTGTAGAATTGCGTTGCAGTTACTATTACTGACAGATGCTAGATTCAATCTGCTTTGCATATGGGATGGAATTAATCAAATCATTGAAAGGCTTAAGAGCTGAGGCCAATCTGAAAAGGATTTGATGGTGTAATACTCTTATATGCGGCGTCTATATTTCCAGTGAACTTGTAACTACTGGCCTAGGGGCTATAGATGTGTCCAATGTTTAATCATCTTGGAGCTTAGAGAGTGCTTTAGTTGTAGTTGCTTTGCAGCTGTGAATCTGTCTTGTTTCTCAGAATTAGAGGTTCTGGAGCGGCCAATCTTTGGTCATGGTAATGCGCTTATGTGAAACATAGAACATCAAATCCCTGAAATAGACCTCACAAAAGTCATACATGTTTTTGGTGGTCATTGCCGCTCCTCACCATGTAGTGGCTTTACATGCTCATGGATGTTCATCAAAGTAGAGCTCCTTGACCTAAGCCTCTGTGAAAGCTGTGATATGGCTCCTTGAGTAGCTTTTGCAAATTCTCAACTTTAAGGCGTTCAACTGACTTCAATTATTGTAGAGTTGGACTATGTCAATTTGCATTATCATCTAGGACAGACCCGACAGACGTGTTACCTTTATGTTCTTCTGGTTGCTGGTAGATTGTTCACTTAATGAACAATTAGGTAACATTGACAAAACCAACTTCTTTGAAAATAAGTTGCTAATAATCAGATAGTCGCTTCAAGTGTTGTCACGATCATGATAAGTTTCTTCTCCAATTTGATGAACCAGAAGCTGGTCCATGGGCATTTGCCTGGTTATTTCTACAGAAATAGAAAAGCAGTAAGTTATTAGCAGAAATAACTTTTGAGCTTTTCAGCAGAAATAGCTTTTGAGTCAAAAAGCAGTAAGTTGGGAGTGCTCAGCTTATTACTTTTGGCTTGTTTTAAGCATTTTTTAACTTATTTTAAATACTTTTTTACTTTGTCAAATACTAAAAAAAGCTAAAAAGAGCTTAAACGCTAATTTGATTAGCTTAAAAGTCAATCTAAACACCCTCCTAGTAGGGTGGTGCAAGTATAATTTGGTGATGAGATAAGTGGGGTCTTGCAAATGTTAGCTTCATCCCTCTACCTTGTGTCAGCAGTCCAAATATGTGCCATTCCACTTGCTGGCAGCGACACATCCTAGTCTAGTGTGATGTGAAAGTCGAGGCTCCACACCCCATATACCACCATGATGTCAAGAAAAGGATGGATCGTAAGGCTTCAATTTTTATCTTGAGAATGACGAATTTTCATCAACGTATTTTTGCAGCCAATAACCGTTGCTGAAATTTACTCTAAAGGTGAATTATTCGCCAATCCTCTCTTTACAGGTGGGACAGGTATAGATTCTGCTTGGGGCGGTTTTTCAACATATTCTACTAAGCACTGTTGCTCTCAATGGCCACATTTTAATGGTAAAGTTACCTCCATTTTCATTGAATAAAAATTAGAGAACAATGGCGTAGTAAACTAGTCTAGGAACTCTAGAATTACATGTTGCTGCTTTACTCTTGATAGGTCATACTTAGTTGCAATGGAATAGAGCTAGGAAGAATATAAGTGGACAATCAGAACTCAGAAGCAACATATATAAGATGCTAGGACTGAAGAATTATACACGCGACCTGCCAGTATGAAAAATTATATTTTTCTTATACACAAACAGCTCATATATTAGTGTTGTTGGTACATACTAAATAAGTTAGCCGTTGAGAAAGTTAGTCGATGATCTGACCTTGGGCACAAATAGGGATGGCAAAATGGTTAAAAGAAAACAATTAACCACCCATATTATCCATTAAAAATGGGTTGGATAATGAACTTTTTAAAAACGGGTCAAATATGAATAAGAACCATATTATCCATTTAGAAAATGGATAACCAATGGATAACCAATGAGTCTAACTTTTACATTTCTAAAGCCTCAAATTGGGGGTTCCTCAAGTTAGGGAGAATAAGGCCTCATTTGTTTTTTTAAATATTAAGACGTCTGAATCTGAATACACATCTAAATATCAAGATGTGCATTAAGATTAAGACATCTGAATCTGAATACACATCTGAATATACTAAGATGTGTATTAAGATCTGAATAGGAATAATTAAGACTGTTTGATTTTTAGCATCTGAATGTATAAAATATATCTTTATTTGAAAATTAATAAACATAAAATTCAATGAAATACTAACTAATCTAATATTCTATCAATAAAATATATAGTTTTTTAAAATATGATAGTTGTTGGTGATGATGGCTAACGGGTGAATGTCGACTGGAGGCGGTGGTTGGTGATAGTTTTGGTTGATGATGGTGGTTCATGCTAGTAGCTAGTAGTAATTGCTACTGGTGGCGATTATGATTGAGGATGGTGGTGGTGGGTGGTGATAGTTAATAATAGCGGGTGGTGGTAATAGTTGTAATTGAGGAAGGTGGTAGGTTATAAGATGGACAGTACCAGCTGTGGTTGTTGATGATGATGGGGTGGTCAATTGTGGCAGTTGAGGTGGATGAGTGTTGATTGTGGGTGAGAATGATGGTGGTCTGAGTGGTGGGGATAGTGGGTGGTGATGGTTGGTAGTGGTGGCGGCTATGATTGAGGATGATGGTGGCGTGGTGGTGGTGGTGGTTGAGTATGGTGGTGGTAGTGGTGTGGTGGTGGTGGTGGTTGAGTATGTGGTGGTGGTGGCATGGTGGTAGTTGATAATGGTAGGCGGTGACGGCAGTTAATAATGAATATGTGATATCATCTTAATGAAATTAAGTCTCTGTTATAGATCTTAATCATACAGACCTATTCAGACCTATTAAGTGGTTGTGAAGTAAAAAAAACAAACAGACTTAATGATTAAGATCTGGATAATTAAGATTCAAACTTTAAAAACAAACGCACTTAATGTCTAAGATCTGAATGATTAAGATTCAGACCTCCATTAAGTGCAAACAAATGAGGCCTAAGAATTCTCTCAAAAGTGATCATATGCAAGAAGTCATGGATAATATGGTTACCCATATTATCCGCCGGTTAATCCGTTTTCTATCCGTATTAAATATGGATCGGGTAGGATAATTTATCCGTTTTTTCATAACCCATTTTCGATTCGAACCATATCTGACCCGACCCGTCCATTTGACACTCCTAGGCACAAACAAGTATGATATATAATATTTGCTTTCAAACAAACTCACGAAATGGCCTTCGTACTTGAACTTGTCTTATTTTTAACTGAGCTCTATTCCACGTGCGAAGAGAGTTCTGTGGATCTCTTTCCGCACGGAAGACGGAGTTCTCTTCATCTAAGTGTTTCACCCGATGCAATATATATATTTTACTTACAAAGGTAGTTTAATTAATGTAATGAAGTTTCTGGCTTCGAAATGAAACTGCAACTATCTTCGTTATCATTCATAAAAAGTTTTGACATTATTTTTCTTTAATTGTTCAAATTAATTACTCCATTGAAGCCATTAGAAAGTCTGGTACGAGTTTCTGAAAAAGTTTTTTGAAATGAAAATACCGCTAACTAGAGAAATGACAATACCAAAGCAAGATTATAGAGCTATCGGTCTAATTTGATCAATAGCAGTGCAAAATATGTATTCATCACCTGATTATAATTAAGCAGAATATGTATTTTCACGTTAATAATTTTGAACTACTAAGAATGAGTTGTAAACTAAAGAGACTCAATTTCTTTACGGTAGAAGCCCATAGGCGTATTCGGAATTTTAAGAACATGAGTGCACTAATATCTTTATAAAAATATATGACTTGACGATATATTTTTTTTTTTTTTTAGGAATTGAACCCCTAACCTTTTGGTTGAAGGCGCACTCATTGACCGCTAAGCAAAAGTACCCACTTGAGCATGGATTCACACATGCTTATTTAAGAACAAAATCAAAAAAAGACAAATGATATACATAGTTGAGGAGGGAAGTATGGGTTCACGTGAACCCACCCCTCCTGTATAGATCCGCCCCTCGAAGAAGTAATTCAT